TAGGTTATGTTATTGTTTCATGTGATAGCTTTTATTGGACCGATAACAAACCTTGGCAAATGTGTCGCCGCTGTCTGGGGTGCTTAGGGTATCGGTTCTTATCCAGCCAAGAAGTGCAGGTTGGAACTCTGTTCGTGTTGGCGATAACGGTTGGGGAAGTGTTTATCGGCAGGCAGATTGCCGCAGGCATTGGCTATCGATAGGATCGTCCCTCGTTGCTATCTGGCTTGGCATCTTATGCCTATTTCTATGTATGGGAAACATGATTGGCTTGCTCTATCTCAAAGTCGGATTAGCCGAAGTACTAGCCAGGCAGACACCAGGTGGACAACAAAGGTGGGGAGTGAAAATCTTTGACAAAAGCAGCACGGTAGGAAGTAGCGACCACGTGGGACACAGCAATTAGGGTCTCCATCTGAACGGCCAGGTTTCGGTCGGAAGTAACCCTGTGTGATGCTCAATGGATCGCTTTTCACTGGATGGACGTTCTCCTCGAGATGGGACTATCGAATGGCGCAAGACCCTATCCCAATGGACAAATGGGTCAATGGTGGTCTGATACAGCACACCTGACCAAGTCCATATTATTTCAGGGATTGAAATTGGCCAGCACACGATGAATCCTGGCTCGGGTGCCTTCGTCCTTTTCCTTGAACAGGACAAAGGGTTGCACCAATCCTCGGCGCGAGAAAAGAACAGGGACCTGGGTCGCACTGGTGTTGCCACTAGCGCGGGGGCGTGCCACTTCGTTGAATGCATGGATGGCGAGCTGAGGTGTGCTGCAGGAGCTCCGTAGGAGTTCCGACGCCTGGAACGGATCCCCTTGGCTCTTGTTTTCTCTTATCGCGCCCAGCATCGAACTTCCTCTGAACGGGCGGACTAACATCCCCTCTGCCTATCTGGATGCGCCTGTTACGCCCTAAGCCTTATCAACTGTTCTACCGGACCCCTCAATATATGCATGAATCTACTAGAGTGAAGGAATTCAGGGTAGCAATTGATGTACCAGGTATTGGATACCCCTGCACCCCTCGAAAATCAAAAGTGCCACATATTGCTTGGGGCGAAATTGCCGCTACGGAATGGCGTCAGCAGCACACGCGATGGCATCTCCAGCAGCCCTTCAAAGATTTTACAACACACGCTACAGTTCATTCGGATGTAACCCGGATAGCCAGGTGATTTCCCGGTAGAATTACATGCTTTCGGTTCATTCCTGCACCAATGGTGACCCGAAGGAGGGTGGGCTAGCAGGTCGGTTATCTAAACCCGGTCCTTCGCTAGGTGAGGGGAACAAACGTCAATTGGAGGGCTCGAAGGCGTTCGAGAAGAAGCGAATCCACCGGCGCAGAGGCCGGAGCGTTGTGCATCCAACGACCCTCTCACTAGATTCCCCTAGCCCTGTCGCAGGGCCGCCTCCCAGTCCCTTTTCAGCAAGATGGCTAATCGCCGTGGTTTGTGGTATCATCAATTCACTCGTGGCATGGCTCCCATGGCAATTCACCCTTATCGGGGTGAGAATATAAAAAGACCCCTAGGGACCACCTTGTGGCAATGATTTCTCCTCCCCGTGCCTCTGGAAAAGTGAGCCCCCTGCCAACATGTCTGCAATCACGACCGGTGCAGCCCGAGAGGGTGACGGCGTCTCAATCCCCCACCCAGACGCTGTCGATGAGAAGTCCGCTGTCACGGTGCTCACTGGCAAAGAAGACCACAGGATCACTGGTGATGAGCTGAGCGGCGAAGAGGACCGCGAAAGCAAAGATGCCATCATTATCACTGGTGCAGACGCTGCCGCTCACCTCCTACCACTCAGGGATGACTTCGACAGTGCCTTGACATTTCGGAGTATCATTCTCGCCTCCGGTCTGGCGTGCTTCCAGGCGGTCATGAACCAAATTTACATGGTAGCACAAGACACCTTAGCCGTCGTGCAGATGTGTTGACACCCTGCTGACACCTGTCCACAGTTTAAACCTACTGCCGTCACCATTCAAGGCACTTTCATCGTCCTGATCGCTTACTTTGTCGGCAATGCCTGGGCCAGGTTCCTCCCCCGGGGTGATAAGTTTGAGGCTCGTTGGAGGGAGAAGGGTGGTCAGGGAAAGCTTCCATGGCATATTAGGTGGATAAAGTTTGTGAATCCTGGACCGTGGACTCTGAAGGAGCACGCTATTTGCGCTATCACAGCCACATCTGCTTCCAATGCCTCTGCATCCTCGCAGGTGTTTGCGGCGCAGAACCTCTTCTACAATATGCCCTTTAGTGCCGTCACTGTCATCTTCAGCACCATTTCGATCGGTCTGTTCGGTTATGGTCTTTGTGGAATTATGCGACCCATTGCCGTCTGGCACGTCGAGGCGGTCTACTGGAGTACTCTTCCTACTGTCAAGACCCTTCAAGGGTTGCATTGGCAACAGGTCAAGAACTCCAAGCCGCTCCGGTACTTCTGGTATGCCTTTACTGGCATGTCGTTGTATGAGATTATTCCTGCATACATATTCCCGTGGCTTAACTCCGTTTCTATTCCGGTACGTTGTTCATTCCACCTTGGGTGTGTAGGAGGTACTAACATAGCTCTAGTGTCTAGCTTCCCAGAAAGCAACCGGCAAAAAGGGTGCTGTACTCACCAATGTTTTCGGTGGATCCACTACGAATGAAGGACTGGGTTTATTCTCTCTCAGCTTCGACTGGCAATATGTACGGATCATTAGTCTATCAACAATTCTCAAGGCTGACTTGTCGCAGATCACCTCCTTCCAAACCTCTCTTCCTCTCAAGCTCCAGCTTCATCAGGACATTGGCATCGCCTTCTGCTTCATCATCATGGTAGCCATATACTATGGAAACGGCTGGAACGCCCGATCCCTTCCATTCATGTCCACGGAGCTTCTCATGGCGAATGGTACTTCGTATCCAGTCTCCAGCGTCTTCCCTGACGGCGTGCTCGACAAATCTGCCTTGGCTACATACGGTGTACCCAGGTTAACTGGAACATTTGCATATGCTATGTTCATGGCCAACGCTGCTGTAAGTACGACAGAAACCTGTGCAAGATAGTCCAGCTAACCTCATCTAGATCGGAGCCCTCATCATGCACTGTATCATCTTCTGGGGCGGCGATATCAAGCGGGCCTACCAGAGCGCCAAACAAGGTCGCTACGACGATCGTCACCACGAGCACATGGCCAAGCATTACAAGGAGACCCCGTGGTGGTGGTACGTTGCGGTGCTTGTCATCAGCTTCGTTCTCGGACTGGTGGTGGTTCTCAAGGAGAACATTACCCTTCCCGCCTGGGCGTACATTGTCTCATTGATTGTCGGAATCATCATCTCGCCTTTCGTGAGTAACCCATAACCAATACTCCCACTCCCACTAACAAAGGTATTCGCAGAGTACCATCCTCTACTCTCGCTACGGCAACGGAATTGCCACCAACAACCTCTCGAAGATGTTAGCAGGACTGATGCTCCCCGGGCGCCCCGTCGGAAACATGTACTTTGCAGCGTGGTCCCACAACGTGATCTCCAACGCAGTGAACCTATCCAACGACCTGAAGATGGGCGAATACCGTAAGCCTAGCTTATCACGCCCCATGATCAAATCTAACCCATTCCAATAGTAAAAATCCCCCCACGAGTCATGTTCCTCACCCAAATCTACGGCACCATCCTGGGCGGCTTCATCAACTACGCCATCATGATCTCCATCGTGACCGGCAACAAAGCCCTTCTCTCCAACGGCAACGGCAACTCCTCCTGGAGCGGCGCGACCATGCAATCCTACAACACCAACGCCGCCTCCTGGGCCCTGGCCTCCTACCTCTACCGCTCCGGCACTCCCTACGCCATGGTTCCCATCGGTCTAGCCATCGGCGCCGCAGCTGTCGTCGCCCACCGTCTCTTCTACTACGTATGCCCATCCCATGCCATCCTCCCCTAATACCCCCATCCCACCACCCCAACTAACCCATCTATTTGATAAATGTATACAGTTCGTCCCCAAAATCCGCAACTTCGACGTCTCCGAAGTCAACATGCCGCAATTCATCCAATACGCAGGCTACATCCCCTACAACCAATCGCAGACATGCGTGCTCTTCAGCTGGGTCCTCTCAGGCCTCTTCGTGCAGTATTATCTGCGGAATTATCATCCGAAAATTTTCAAGGATTACTCGTATTTGATCACGGGTGCATTTGATGGCGCTAGTTTGACCATCGTGTTTATTTTGTCTTTTGCGGTGTTTGGGGCTGCGGGTGTCGCGCATGATTTTCCCTCTTGGTGGGGGAATAATTCTAATGGGAATTATGATTGGTGTCCTGTTACTTAGGATGCCTTCTTCTTCCAGAGGGGGTTGGATGGGGTGGGATGGGATGCAATGGGGAGATGGAGGGGAGGGGGAAGGTGTGGATGTTCATACTCTACTCTGTCTTTTGTATGTAGTACATAATTTCATTAGGGGGTGTTGATGAATGAATATAGTTATATGGGTGGTTGAGGTTAGTTGATCGGAAGTAGCATTCCCCTAAATAAGAAGAAGTTTGTTTGGTCTTGTGGAGATCGAAAGGTGAGGTGGGATTATATTATATATTCCTCAGTTAGTTAGTATCTTGTTGAATTGGTCTCCGTTTATCGGTGAAGGGTATAGATACCGTGATGAAAATGAAGATCAATCTGGTAGTTATTTCCTTGACGTCCAGAAATAGAAGACAGACACACATATATAATCAATCATTTCATCATCACGAAAATTTCAATTAAGACAGACCAAATCTTCAATTCGAAGATGAATATAACCAAGAAGAATTTCATCTTCAATAGTCCATAATATGTGCAGATTAACAATGTATGAAATTATCTGCATATTTCATCCACTCATAGCCGACCCGCGGCACCCTATCCCGACACATAAAAAAAATTACTTAACAGAAAGTACCAACCAGTACCTCTAGGAGGCCCGCTATATGCAATATTACCATCCCTAGAAACGTAATGTTCATCACCGATACCCCGCCAACTCAGCTTTCGGGCCATTATTCGAGGGTAATTCCACAGGCGCAGACTGGCCATCTAATTCGCTCGCTGGGGCGGAATATGGCTGCTGAGTCTGAGTGTAGGCGTATGCCGAGTACTGAGGACTAGGGTCCTGTGGTTGGAGATGCATCTGTGTCTGTGACTCTGGTCGTTGCTTATTGCGCCGTCGCAGGAAGTAGAAAAGAAGGCCGGCTATTGCTGCGACGCCGGCGACACCGCCGACGACGCCTCCGGCTATTGCGCCCGTGTTGGTGCTTGAGCCTGAACCGGTGGATGATGCTGCTGTGGTTGTTGCTGCTGATGCTGTGGCCGTTGATGCGGCTGTGGATGTGGGGGCTGATGTTGCGGATGAGGAGGCTAGAAGGAAAGGTTGTTATGTTAGGACTGGATCTGAAGGTATCTATCTATCTGTCTTGTAGGGTAAATCAACTCACTTGTTGCGATCAACCTCAAGGCGCTGTAACTGGCATTGCCCGGCGAGTCGGGACTCAAGCAGCCCACCCAGTCTGTCCCCTTGAGTCTGAATCCACTTTCGTCCTCGGTGCAGCAGAAATACCCATCGTAGTCGTACATATTCCAGGAGCTATTGGCGCAGGTGGCAGGTTTGATCTCGGAAGTGCAGTCCGTCCAAGTCGGACAGCAGACATTGTTCTGAATCGAGTACTCTTTTCCGGGACATTTGGACCCGGATGGGCAGCAAGCGTGCCAGGTTTCCCATGTTCGTCCGCATCCGACTTCGTCGCTGAGACATGAATTATTGCGGCGAATGGCGTAGCCTTTGATGTCTGAGGTAGACATGGTGGTAGTAAGTTTAATGAATGGCACTGGCACTGGCACTGGATCTGCGTAGGGGACGGTAAAGGGCCGAGGCAAGGCGCATTGTCGGGGCCGAAAGGATGAGAGAAGAACTTCGAGGAAGTAAGGGGACGAGGCTGATTATTTTGTCGAATGCGCGCGGACCTGCTTGTCAGACGCATTTCGCTTATTCAGCTCCAAAAAGCGATCCTGATTCCTGGGGGCTCTTGGCTTGCCCTAGTTTGATTGGGATCATCTGATTTTGGGTAGAGACACGAACGGGCACGGGGCTTGGATGTTTCTGTGCCGATCAGGGTCCACAGTGCGGGATGGAGTGTGTGTTGTTTCGCCAATTTGCAGAGTTTTGCTTTATCAGATAACCGGAGGCTGCTGCTGTCAATCGCATGTGTATGAATAACTCCGGTCGGCATGATTCATGGTAGCTAAACTAGACGACTGCTGGATTATGCTGAAGGTGGAGGGTTGGAAGTCAGTGTAGACATCGTATGAGGAGTCTGATGGACAGCACGCTGCGGAGGAGCGGCAGAGCAGGTAAACAGAACGTATGATTTTATCCCCTGGTGTTTGTGTAACTCGAGGAACTGAAGAGTCATCTGCTGCTGTACTGCAGGCAATTTGACATTTGCAATTCGTCTACTTTTGATTGCTGCCATTGAGCAATGACCGATCTTTGTTGAGCAGTAAATCTTTTTCTGCAACGACACAGTTATCTAAGCTTACAACTCGCCGACTCATTTGGGCTAGCCAAGCCCCACTTTGAACGATCATGAAGCCAATTATGATTCGGGTTGGCATGGAGGCACGCGAGCAGAGGAACACGGCAACATCCCTGAAAAGGGACCACGTCCGTGCACAATGGGTCGTCCCGCTTTTCCCCGTTTGGCATCGGATTGTCCGAGAGGAGGCTCTTTAAAATTTGCTGGATAACGAATCCACCGGATGAGGAGGCGAAACAGCTATGAGGAACATAAACATTCGTTTCATTATCCATCGGTAACAGGCTACCATTCTCGCTCGTCTCTGATTCGTTAGACTGGTATGGATGCTGTGTATGAGCGGATTATATATCCGTTCATCGAAACGTTGGTTCGACAGATGGTACTTTCAATTCACTTGGCTATATCTCCCTGACGGTTGTGAGTCAGTCAAATGCCAAATGCTCGTGCCATATTTGCGACTGTTTTGGGCGCTGAGATGTCGCGGTAAATGCCAGTCAATAGAGCAGTACGAGTTCGTCGAAGTGTTGTGATGCGGTGCGAGATGTCGCTAGAAGGTTATCGACGTAGCGCACTTGCATGTATCTTAGTGTCTCAATGTGTCACTTCCTCTGTTTTGCTGAAGAGCGCTCACCAACACGATCGGGATATCTGAGCTGGCAGCCCGTATATGCCTCGTTCATCCAGGCTACCGATCGCAGACACTTGTTCAACATACTCGTCTCGGTAAAAGGCTGCACCCGGCAGGACGGGTAACATCAGGCTGACTTCAAGGATCTATGTAGTTGTTGGTCTCTCACCAGCCGTCTCTAATTCGGATAGTAACAAGGAATTCGGATGGCGCCATGGATAAGTTGTGACGCATGCCTCGATACCAACTCACAAGGCATAGCCGGGGCACAGACCAGCAATGAATGTAGCTGACTAGTTGGGACGGTCTGAATGACCAGGATATAGACGGTGGCCTACCTTGGGTCGTGGTACAGGTCTGAGCCTCCACCCTGGGATGGTCAACGTTGAGCGGGTACTGATGCTGAGTCTGGGGCTGGGATGTGTGCACCACTGATACGAATGTGTAACTCACATCTGCGTGCCCTGTGAGGATCTGTGTCTGTGTTGCTCTTGCACGGCAACTCGATCCCTGGACTTTCCAAGCTTGGACACTCGCGGATGGTCATTGCGGCTGTAGCATTGTCCCCGTTGAGACTACAAGCCTTGCCGGTGAAGATCCTGTACAACCACGGGATGGTCGGGGAGGCTTCCTCGATATCCAAGAGATGTTGATCCTGGTTTGTTACACCAATGGGTGCCATGCTATTGCGCAATTCGGTAACTTGGGGGAGCTGGCAGGTAACTGAGTCGGACTACAGCTTGATCACCGAAAAGCGTGACGTATGTCCAAACTCCAAAAATGATCATATCCTTCAGAGACATTGTTTTGACAATTCATTGTGACACTGGCTGATGTCGTCATTGTTGGGGCTGTGTATCCTTGAGAAGCTTGTCGAGTAGCTGTGGGTGATGTGGGTATGCATTCAGCCGCTGGACTAGGTATGCAGCCTTATGGGGAGGAAAGGGACTGCTACGCCACACAGCGTCAATTCCGACCACTTGATATCAATACCGATGATAGAGAAAACGCAATTTAGTCGCACACCTGTGAAAGTGCAAGGATACCCAATAATCTAGGTATTTCCGAGTCGACCCCTGTTTGCAGCGTAAGGCTGAGAAGCTGCGATGATTGGGTAAGTGGATCCGGTGGAGCCACCGAAGCTTCCGAACCAAAAATTTTCCAGTGGCATCGCCCACCACATGCGAATCTTCTAAATGCAAAAAGAGAAGCCCAACGCGGGGCTCGAACCCGCAGCCTTGAGATTAAGAGTCTCACGCTCTACCGATTGAGCTAGCCGGGCTAGTTCGGTGAAGGAAACATTCTGTACACGGTATAAGACGGCGACAACAGCTACAATTCCTGTTACGATTACTATTAGATGGTGTCTTTGAGCCTCTTTGCGCTGTTATCAATAGAAGGTATGGGGAGGGTTGGCGCCTAATGAGTGGCAATCGCAAGGCAGACTTCCATATTGAGCATGGTGGGTACGCCCATCATGGGACAAGCTATCCCGGGCTTCACCAACACTCGTTATATATATCCGCTGTAAGCATTGGCTCCCACGGACCTTTCCAACTGACAATCGTACCCAGTGAATAGACGCGCTGGAGCCTAGTAGGCTGAGGGACCGTGGTCTGGGATGCAAAAAAGCCGCAGGGTGGACACCATGCGCATGCTCGTTGCGCCATTATCGGTCGGACGCTCACAAGGCAGTCCCAAGGGACTGGTACGGTTGCTGTAGCCTGAGAAAGCGAGGGATTTGGTGGACAGTAGTACAGCAAAAACGGAGAGCTGAAACGGAAACGAGCCTCTGGGAAAGCTGGCGTTACCGCGATAGGATACGAGGTGACGATTTCCTTGCGCGCGCGTCAAGCGAAACGAAAAGATAGAACCGATCGGACGGTCGATCAGTGATGGAAGGCATAGAACCATCAGCACTTGCAGGATGCATGATCTCACGCAGATACCTCGTGGGTTGAACTGTGGCTGTAGCGCCGGAGTGGCAGAAAGGAACGCCCTCGGCCAGTCATCCTGTGGCTGAGGCGCAGCAGGGTATCGAGACACATGGTCTCGATGACTTCATGGCTGCTAGCGTAAGGGGTAGTCTGGGGCTCAGACATCTCCTTATCACGAAGTTGGCGATCATGGGGCTGCTCGTATTGGATCGCTGGGGAAACAGGTTCGAAACACCTATTCTTAGTCGGTCGCGATCGAGGCAAAAATAGCATAGAAGCGATCGAGAGAAAGCCAATATCGTAGGTTACCAACAGAATGGAACCGAGCCATCTCTCGTCTCAGATAATGCGGGTCAAAGGGGAGAGCGGCTGCATGGCTAATGAGCATTGGCATGGACATGGGAGAGTTAACGCGTGAAACGGACTACCGCAACGATGGATACTGACCAACAATGGGCGGAGGTGAGATGGGGATGCTGACGGTCCCTGAAAGACGGGCGGATTATGGTGTCATGAACTAGGGGAGTTCGTGTTGAGAGACCAGAGAGGAGGAAAGGTGGCTTCTACTGGCGTGCGGCTTAGTTTCTAGACACGAGGAGTCAAGCCACAGTTGGGCTGGCCACATCTTGAAGAGCACTTCATCGTCGAACTTTAACCCGATGACTCGACCCTTCCCCGACCCTAAAACAGGTATAGTACTCCCCTCCTGGACTGGTTGAGTCGGTCATTACTAACTGTATTGTGTCTAGTGTGTCCACTCGCCATGACCATCCTGTTCCCGAATGGAGTCACAGGGACTGGTTAGTCTGACAGGAGGGGGTTGCTTGGGACCAAGTTAGGGCCAATCATGAAAGCGGGTGAGGAGCGAACGGGTTGCAACAGCCGCCGGACCAACAACAAACTACAAGTTAAGAGGATCAGCACTGCCTGCTTTGCACCAGCCACACTCCCCATGTCTAGTGCCACTACTAGTACCACTACACACTACTCCCGTACTAGTCCCAAGTCGTCCTGAGGCAGGCTCCCGTTGAGCCTTAGCAGTCACCCGCAGGCTGCCATTCCCTCCACTACAGTTTCTTACTGTTTGCTAAATTCCGAAAAAAGAAATTCAGAATAAATCTCCTTGTTGCTAAACTTTTTTAGTCTCTCCGCCTGTGACCCATTCGTCATGGCTGCTCTAGCGCCCCCGGGACCACTGTCCCTCTGCTCTAGCATTCACTGTATGCCAATCATGGATGCCTTCCATCCTTCTCAACTATATAACTTCCCTCTCCCACCCCCCCAATTAACCTCCCCCCCCATTCACTTATTCACTACACACTTCACTTAAATATCCATACATATAATCCACCAAGAGACTTCTACATCTCTATTACTCACAACTTCATCGCGCTTGAACAAGCCCAAACTACCTTGTTATAGTCCTCGTGATCCATCCGCCAGTCACGCTGTCGCCCTTCAAGTCTCTCCGTTTCTGGCCCCCCTTCTACTACTCCATTCAGGAGACTCTTCGAATTGAAAGACCTCGTTATCGCACTCGAACGCCCCTCCGTCGTACAGCAACCATGCCTGCTCCCATCGAGCAGCCCTCCGAGCCCGTCGTGCTCGTGCGCGACCCCGAGGACGATGAGAGCTATGTGATCTCTGCCTACGAAGGCCACGCCGATCACTGTACTCGCTGTGCAGACCCGATGACCGCGTACGAAGAGAAGCGCTCGCTCTGCAAGCGTGGTGCCCAGTATGCCCGCGACGTGACCGAATACCTCCGCAGCAAGAACGGAAAGATCTACTCCGTTGTTGACCTTGAGCGCAACCGATCCACCCTGGTCAGGGTACCCCTGAGGTGCGTCGCTGTTCGCCAGCTGCTCCTAGCAATCGAAAATGGTCTGCGTGTGAACACCAAGGAGGAAGTCACCGCTCGCGAGCGGCCGATAATCAGCCATGAGCCAGCCCCTGTCCGCCGGACTACCACCCAGGAGGATGTGGCCTGCACTGCAATCATTGAGCGAGAGCCACGCTCTCTGAGGCGTCACCGGGTCATCGTCTACACCTCTCCGCGGAGCTCTCCCAGCCGTGGGTCTCTGTATGAGGCCGACGCCGCTGACCGCATTGCGCGTGTCAACCGGTCCTCGCGCATCTACCGGCCGAACGACTACTACCGCTGAGGGACATGAGCAGAGCTTCTGATGCATTCATTAAGGTTTCACGCATGCGCAATTGTGGATATTCTGCGGTGCAGACAAGTCACCATTATTATCACCGACCCGGCCCCGTCGCAGCAAAGGCTAGACCAGCCTGCGACACTGGCACGAGCCAGACCCATACCCGATGGTAGCCAGCTTATCTATGGGTCCTCGGGGATATTTATACCCCGCCTAGAGATTGGCTACATCCTTGTTGGAGGAACTGGATTCCTTGCTTACTGTTCTGTTACCGACCTGCTGTCTGATTCTATCCTATCCTGTTTGGGGTGAAGACGAGGAAACGAACGAAAGGAACAAAAACAGGCGAAAACACAAAAATCACCCACCAAAAAAAGAAACGAAAGCAAAGGAGGAATTTCCTTCACTGTTGAGCAACCAGGCTTCAATCTGCACACTGCAGCTCTGACTCACTCCTACTCCAAGTGGTCAACGGACACACCCACCATCCGATGGCTGCAGCTCACCTGCATGCAGTCCGTCCCCCGACCGATGATCCACCCGGATCATCCCCTTCCCCTCATTTGGTCTTTTTCATCGGGAACTCGAACGAGTTACACCCACTATTTCCTTTGTCTCTGCCATGATTCGTTCTTACGCGTCCAATAAGTGATGCTGTATTTTAATATGAAATTAATTTGACTATTGCCAAGTGGTCTTTCTGCAAGTCTCACTCTTCTGCAACGTAGCCAACCACTCTTAACCCACCAGTAGTAGTACTACTACTAGTAGTTACTCTGCATATTGCATGTGCATAGACAGCCTCATTTGTCTGCCTAGTGCCTAGCCAGTTAGCCACATAATTTACTCCGTACTATCCTCTCCTATACTATCCAACTACTATACCCTCCCTCGGCACTGCGGCTCTATCCCTGTTCCCCCTCCCCTCTTAGCAGCCACCCAGCCAGCCTCTAACATCCACCCGCGCAAAGTTTATTTCCCATCGTGCATTTCCTTCCTTCCCTCTTACCACTTATACCCCGGTACACCGTACATGAACATACATTGCGAGTGAGTGAGTGAGTGAGTCATGCCAGTCAATATACCCTATTGGCTCGACCAACTAGTAGACTCTGCACTGATCCTTGCCCCAGATGCATACTACCACTACTCTTCTGAATCTTGAAAATAGCACTGCACATGAAACTCCCACCACAACACAACACAACACAAACAAAAGACCATGCTTCCACAACATATGTACTAAGCCAGGAGGCTGGTAATCATTACCCATTGAGTTAGTTAGTTATTTACTAGGTATCGCACCGTTTAAATCCAACCCACTACGCTACGTGGTTCCTCTGTCACTGTACCCTGTGGATCATGGTCCCCACTGCGGGTACTCCACCGGCTGTGGCCTCGACTCGAAGTCTGGGTACTCTGGGTACATAGTGGAGACGGTGTCTATACTTAGTGGGTAGGTAGTGTATGCCACAGTGACAGCGAGTGACTGTTTGACTGTACTGTGTAGTGGGTGGTAGAGGGTGGGTACTATGTACGTATACGTAGTGAGTAAGATAGTGGTGGTGGTACTTTTGCTTCCGGCCGGATCAGCGGGTGCTAGCCCGGGTGCTAGTATAGTAACTGTTGTGGATCACATTGATACGGATGGGATGGGATGGGATGCTGTTCCTGTCGTTAGTTAGGTACTTCGGAGGTAGTAGTATGGGGCTGTTGGGCAGGTACTGCTACTATCTAGTTACTTACTACTTACTAGTCAGTTAGTGAGAGCTTGCTGTGTCTGTGCTGTACGTAGCTAGCTAGCTACCTACAACTAACTACTAAATATAGTAGTGCCATCGGCAGTTGAGATAGCTATTACCGGGGTGTGCTAATACCCCTTTGGGTTATTGTGGATAGCTTCAAGCCCATCATCTATTGATCATTGGCAGGTACTAATGTATATGTCCATCGGGGAAGGATAGAGATGGGGTAATTCTCCGAAGAAACCTACTAAGAGCTATAGCACGGCTCGGGGTTAGGCTAGCTAGCTCATCATCATCATCAACATTGCTGGTTTGATTCTGAAACCTGAAACCTGGCTAGTTGGCTAGAGTGGAGATGTAACTGCTGTCCAGACTCTGGAGTGGTGAGATCGACGTCTGTTATCGGGTGATTTAGCTATGTTATTCATGGGGAGATGTGTCTGTGCGTTAGTCTAGAGTGGTCGGTGATGATCATAATAGTAGTTGATAATGGACGGAATAGGTAGGTTGCTGAAGAATGGGGATCCACTTGGATGTACGTATATTTTGTTGGAATAGGATATATGCATTTGGGACAGCAAGTACATTATCACACCATCATAAGTGAGTTTGGAGTATGCTGTCAGACTTGTCTGGACACTTGCTTGTGGGTCAATGGTTGGAGAGGCGCTTGTGTTATACTTTATGCTGTGTATTGGGTGGAGAGAGAAGCCAGCAATGGTATTGAGGTAGCATTGAACATAGCATATGCGATGTGGCTGGTGACCTTGGAGACAGACGGACAGGTTCCGAGATGATCTCAGGGCTGCACTATGTGACTGACCACTGTGGTAGCGTAACATGGGTAAAAGGTACTGGGATTTCATAGATGCCTTAGGCAGTTAACAAGGAGCATCAGGGTCTATGTAGTGAAATTCCCGATTGTTGCATCTAAGAGTCTCTCAGTAGGAAATGCGCTTATGCGGCAGAATATTACGAGGAGTGTGTTGCAGGAAATAAATTGTGGGACTCATTGATGTTGTAGAATTCCGGAGTACAGCCTGAGTTGAGCATGATATAATTATGTATCGGATCCATCATCATGCCTACATATCAATGTTATTGGGTGAAGGGTAAACGACATTTCTACAGGAGTGTAGTCGCACTTTCATCGAGGCCATCCGTATCCACACAAATCCCACTCAATTGACAGCCAAAAAGAAGGCCCCACAGGCAGCGGATGGCCTGTGGATCTAAGAAAGCCAACAGTAAAAGAACAAAACAAAAAAGAAAGCCCAACGCGGGGCTCGAACCCGCAGCCTTGAGATTAAGAGTCTCACGCTCTACCGATTGAGCTAGCCGGGCTAGTTCGGTGAAAGAGGCTTCTTTCTTTTGAAATAAGACCCTGGGATACACTCATTGCTGTCCACACTCGGGTCCAGCTTTCCATTTCTCAAACATGTCCAGGTGATCTAGTTTGAATGTCAGTAGAGCCGGTGTTAACACACCATCATAGCTGCCGTCCCATCTCATCCCTTTCACTGGTCTGATGACATTCCACCAGAAATTTAAGTCGACCCTAAGTATAGGCGACATTGATCGCGCAAAAATAAATCAGCAGTTCTCCAAGTATACAAGGTATCCCCAAGCACGTGCAGTCACATGACCCCACACCCCAACTATAACCCACCACTAACCCACCATCCCCAATCAGGAAAGCATCCCCATCACGTGCCCGCATCCCAAGCCAATCCTCCAAACTTCTCCGGCGCAACTCCGCAAGTCCCTCGACTCGACGCCCAGGCAATCCACCCCCTCAAGCTTAATCTCCCCCAAAAGCCCCTCAAAATGGCCAAGAAAGGTGCGTTAACCCATTCCCCATGACTCTACTCCCGCGCCGAATTCCCACAAAGCTCGACTTCACCGGCAGTAGCACTGCGGGAAACCCAAATCCAGATTCCTATGATGATGGATGATAGCTGACAAAGATGGCATCATACAGTCAAGTCGCGCACTATCACCGTGCGTCTCATCTCCATGGCCATGACCGGTTTCTATCGCACGATGATCCGTCCCCGTACGCACCGTCCGCTCAGTATGCTCAAGTACGACCCCGTCGTGAAGAAGAAGGTCTTGTTTTTGGAGGCTACGAAGGGTGGTCGGAATAAATAAGCCACCTTACGGTCCGGATACTTTTTTTGTTTTGTTTATTCGGTGGTTCGTTTCGAATACCTGCACGGGTGGACGGTGTCCATATATCTCGATCGCTGGGAGAGTGTGTGGTTAGAGGCAACTTCTGACGATAGTTGCGCTTCGCTTCGGCTTCTTTTCTACGGTTAACCGCTACGAGACGACTTGCGAGATACCGATACCGATATCGATACCGTATCCTCCGGCTGGATTTGGGATGAGCCATCACAGGATCTTTTTATCGATATGAGACGATCATGTATATTAGACGGTGCAGTGGCGAGGATGGTCGTGGAGGCTGGATCATAAAGATAGGCTTCCGTGGACGTTCGAGCTGTGCATCTTTTTCGGTGTTATATTGTGGCGTTTAGAGCAAGACATTCTGGGTTGAATCAATCTTCATTTATCAATTTATTTGCGTTGATGCATATAACATTATTTCGAAAGCTTCAGGCATTCTGTGTTGCGGAAATTGAGATAGGGATATGTTTTTCTCACTTCTCGATTATCACGCCGGATAAGTTAGCAAGTGCACGAATTGAAGAAAAACAGGTACAGAGTCATTCTTCCCCCGACTGCCGTCTGACGTATTCGTCTATGTACCCCTCAGGCTCCTCGGCTGAAGCGAGCATTGTAATGATCACCTATTGGGGTTAGTGTGCTTGTTATACATCTTATGCTGCGTCTTACCTCGTGTCTTTCGCCCTGCTACCCTGCCTCTAGCTGCTCGCTTTGGATTGGTCCCCTGGCTGGCATTAATCGAAGAAGGCCTGCTGCTTCCGGAAGCAAGCTTCTTGGGGGTTGGCTTGCGCTCGAAGTACTCGCTGACGGGCTTTGTTTGTGGCTTCTGATCCACAGAAACCTTTGCTCGTTTGTTTCCAGTGGAGCAAGATGCGGTGGCATGCGCAGCTCCATCAGCAAGCTCATTACTAGGGGGACAGGTCGGCTGTTCTTCAAGGGTCGCCAGTGTCCGAGACACGGGTTGACGAGCCCTGGCATATGTGCGGCGATTTAGACGGGCTGGTCTGTCCTCTATGGACTGGCTCCGCCACTGACTGGGGCTGAAGTTGCTCGCGGCCGATGATTTGCGTTTCTGCGCTGGGGATGTCGTACTTTGTGCCTCGAAAGTGACGCCTTTTGATCTAGTTTCTTTCTCTTTACTGCTGCACTTCGTTTCGAGTGCCTTCTCATCATTCATGTCTTGAGGGTCTGGCTGAAGCACTTTGCTCTTGGCTGACATACCAGCGGTTTTCATTCGTGGAAGTGTTCCTTCTTGTGCAGCGACGCTGGCTGATCCTGTCGATTGGGCTTCGACGGGCTTGTTAACCGAATGGACCTCATTCGGAACCTGTTGCTCTGAAGTAAGAAGTAGCATAGCTGCAAGATCATCCTGGTCATTACCGAAGACAGAACTATCTATCGGTGACCGTTGGCGGAAGCTTGAAAAAGGTACAATATTGGGGTTCTGCGCTGAGCAGAAAGGCTGTTTTTCGGCGTCGTTTTCTGTCGGGTTAGCTTTTGCTGGGAAAGGCGAAGAGATAATGCTTGCTTGAAAGCTTTCTGCTTTGTAGATCACTTCTGTAGCCTTGTAGACATCCTGTCCTAGAGTCGAACTTCGCGCCTTCGAGCCACCAACATCTTGGTTGCCACCAGGAGATGAGTTCAAGGAATTGCGGGCGGCATCTCTGCTAATAACTGTGCGCAAACTAGTTTCCAGGCTGCTCCATGCTTCCGAGGCTGGCTGGTCAGGCGTGACAAGGCCCGCTTGTCCAAGCGTTGCTTTCAGTTTGTTCATCCACTTCTCGGAATTTTGGACCCTTCTAAGTAGTGACTTTATCTCTTCTGCCGCCTTTCCTTTGCTGTTTTCGAGATCCGCCTTTTCGGACATCTTAGCCTTGAGCTGTGACTGGATGAGAACACACTCGTCTTCCTTTTCCTGCAACACCTTGCAGAGCATGTCATGCTTGCTTTGAATATCCTCGATGGACTTTGATCCCTCTTGGCTGATTCTGGAGCATTCACCCTCAAGACTTGAAATCCGGTGAGCAGCTTCTTCAATCTGATGCTGAAGAGATGCCTGCTCCGCCGCGCTCAATGACACGGCCTCTGTAAGTCTTGCTGATTCGTGTTTCTCCTTTTCTAGCTTGGATGTTTTCTCAGATATGTCATTTTTGAGACACTCATTCTCCTTTTCTTTAAACCCAAGCTATACCAGTCAGCATCTTGGCAGTAACAGAGTTCCACGCTTGCCTACCAGGAGTTCCAGTTCGTTCACTCGCTGCTTCATCATGTCTTCGCGCACTACCTTTCTTGCATCAATAGGTTTCTACCCTCAATCGTATTGGAACTTACTCGGTCTCGTCGTGTCTCAGCCAACTGCATGGACACCTTGCTGAAATTTCTCTCAACCTCGGATTTCCCTCGTAGGAGCTCATGGATTCGCTGGTCGTATCTTGCCCGATCCTGTTCTCGGGAGATAACACTAGCTCTACTGAGCTCTTTACGAACCCTTGCCTCCACAGACTTGACCTCATCCTTCAGTGTTGCTACTTCCGCTTCGTACCTCCGGACGCGAGAATCATCATCTTCCACCTTTGCTGATGCAATTTCCAGCGATCCTCTCAATGTCTGATTTTCAAGATCCTTGTTTCTCAAGGCTTCCTCGGCCAACTTGGACTGTTCCGACAAACCTTGGATCTTTCTTTCCATTTCGGCAAGTGTCTGCTCAAACCGTTGAGTCTCTTCTTTTAAAATTTGTCTCTGGTCTGGTAGCTGCATCGCCGATAGACTGGCTTCCAGAGCTGTAAATTGATCCAGAAGACCGCTTTCTCTCGCCTCTAGCCCCTTCATTGAGACATTTATGCCCTCATTGGCGGCCGCCAATCCTCGAAGCGTGTTTCGCAAGCTCTCATTAGTGTCTGAATCTTTCGAAATATTTGCCACTAGCTGATTGTCGCTGACAATATGCTTCTCGATAATCTCCGTCTGTGCTTTCAGGCTCTCGGTCAGGCCTACAGTTGCCTCAGTCCCCTTTCCGATACCAGCATTCAGCTGGTGCATCGCCGAGTCCATGCTAAAGCGCCTTGTTAGCTGATTGCAAGGGGTTTTGCTTATAATATGAAGCTTACCGCGCTGAGAAGGCGTGGATAATGTCTGTGCATGCTGCTACATCAGCCTTTCCTGACGAGATACCCTCCCGCAACTCTCCGAGTGAAGCTAGACAACCGCTGAAATCACCGCTCAGACCCTCTTGGAGAGACTTTATGGAAGCAACATGTTGATCGCCCAGACTTTTTAAAACGGCATCGAAACCTCCTCTGATCTCACGTTGATGAGACATAATCTTGTCCAATTGAATGGACTGAGCTCTGGAACAATTTTGAATGTAGACCTCAAGAAGACTTGATCGTTTCTTCTCATCCGACAGCTGCGTCAAAAGGTAATTTGATCTCTCCTCAGCATCTTTCAGACTTTGCTTGAGCAGGTCGTTTTGGCTCTCCACCTTTAAAAGCTCACCCCGCTTATGTTCAGCGTTGGTTGAAGCATTGGCTAACTGTGCCTTTGCTTCTTTTATGCTGGTGCTGATCTCGTTTCGCTCTAACAGCAACTCTTTCCTTGTTCCTTTGAGCTGAATAGCCTCGCCACGTAAATTCTGAAAGTCGCAGCCAAGTTCATTCAAGAAGCTTCTAAACTTCGCAAACTTCGACCTCCATGTTTCCATGCGGGACTTGTAGGCTTGTAGCTGAGATGATTGCTTCTGGATCTGCTGGCAAGATTCTTCCAGTTGGCCTTTCAGCACATTGTTTTCCTCTGCCACCTTTGTAATCTTGGCCTCCATTTGCTGTTTGATCTTAGAGGCGACCATTGCACTTTTCTCGCGATCTCTGATACGGTTGATTAGCAACTGGAATAGATCTTCTTCTGATAGTTTGGGTTCTTCATCTTCAGAACCACCAGTCGATAGAAGCCTGGCACTGAAGGCGCTTTTCTTGCTTGAACGGCGACGCTTTGTGATTCTTGATGTTTGGTTTCTAGCAACCAACAAACTTTGCTCGGTCGCTTTGCTTTGATGTTCACCAGAGATACTTCTGTTGGGTGCCTTGCTTCCATGCTCTGTCACCTCGTTTCTTTGGGTGTTCTAGGTTCTCGTTAGCAGGAAAGGGAGAGACTTGATTTAATCACTGCCTACCTTTCTGTGTTCCATGGAAGTGGTACGTCTGTCTTTATTAACAGGTCAGTGAGCATCTCCTATATCATCGTGCTTCACATACCCGGCGCTGCACGTTCTGAGACTGCCTCTAAATCAGCGGACGAGCGTTGGCCAACTTGTGGTACAGAAACATCTGCAGAAAGCAAAGCGTGCGAGCCATGCCCAGCATGCACCTTGCCCCGTGTTGTCTCTAGAGAGGTGTCCTCTGGTACTTGTGATTCGAGAGATCCATTTCCTGGAATCACGTTTACATTACGTGTGCTGATATGCGAGTTCGCTGGATATGAAGAACTGCTCATTCAAACGAAGGTTAGCCTAGCACCAAGTGTCAGACATATTACTTACCTTTCTCTTCTCAGTCCTTTTCGAGTGACTAAGGACACATCCTTGCCACCATCGAGATGAGCATCAGCCCCAGGAGGCATGGTATTCAGTGTGGAGCGTCTTGCTGGCTGCAGGGAGAACAAATTTGGACCCTGGGTAGGCCTCTGGAAGCAAAAAGCTGCCATGTCAATACCAGAACTCTGAGGGCGTTCCATGAGTAGTGGAGAAATCTGTCTGTTAGGCACGGGTCTGTCCTCCTCTGAGACCATAGTTGCTTCGAGCTCTGGTGGGAGGGAATCATTATGGTCTGCCAAATGCAAGAGTAGCAGTTCTTCCACCTCGTCATAGGTAGTCCCATCGGCGAGATTCGTAATATCAGGGCATTCTATAGAATCCGCCTCGGACATCGGCTCTTGCTCGTTCTGCATCTTGAGGCGACTGAGAAGTTTTATTTTCAGTTCCTGGGCTTCCAGTGTATAGTGAGAGACAGAAGCATATGAATACCAAGTGGAACAGAAAGTGACTCGACTTGCAAGAATATGAGTTCCTAGAGGATGACAGCACAGAAGATCACAATGTGAGTCGCTACTGTCACTTCTGTATTGCTTGTTATACTTATTTCACAGCGTAGTCTCTCTCAAGTGATCTGCAAGTCGTCTGGAGTGAGAAGAGCGGGACAAGGAGTATCCTGAGCGACCAATACAGATGGCTCCTCGTGACTTGAATAGTGAAAATGCACAAACGGAAGCCACTGGCTGCCGAATCGAGCATGATAATGCCTTTTTGTTGATTCTACTGAGGCTAAATTGTGACTGCACAACATAACTACTGATATTCGTCAATCCGTCACTGATACTGTTAACTACTAGACATCGTGGTTTCTATATTAGTAGCCATGTAACATCACCGTTTTTGCTACCTTGACCTCTAAGAAATCCAGAATGTCAACCGTTGACATTTGGATCGGGGTCAGGTCAAAGAAAAGACTCTTGTCTAGCAAGGCAGACAAGGCGCCTCACCGGGCCAATTATGGGCTGGAAAAGATGGCACTGTCATCTGTTCCACACCTCAATTATCACTGCCATATAATGATACCCAACCTATAGCTCTGCCATTTCCTGAAAGATCAAGGTCACAATATTTCTCTCCAGAGATAGGACATTCTGCAGAGCTAAATTTGGTGATGTCGCATTTGCTTTTTCTATAGCGCAGGTGTATAATTGTGATCATTCGTCCAAATGGTCCGACGCAGCCTCACTTGCGCCCGAGCAGATGCAGAACATTTGAAGACTTATGGAGCCCTCGTGCATCGGCGGCCAAGCCACCTTTACAATTGGACACTATCCAAAGTCAATGCAGAGTTGGTGGTTGCAGTTGGCGCCGATATGCCACTAAGTCGAGTTCCGTGTCTCCGATTTGACGATTGCGTTTCACCCTCAAACCAGTGAAACTGCATGATCCCGGGCCCTCCCACACAGTCAAACACTCCAGCCCATCTTCAGGATTTAGGCTGTCACAGTTAAGCCTATCACGGAATAAGATGTCATAGTGCTGCGTACACCAGCAAATTCTTCACAAATCTCGCACCCCTGGTGACCCCATCGACTCCCATATATGATATGATGAGCACTCTTCCCATGCCTGACTATTCTCAACTAAACTTTTTATTCATAAGTGTTATTTATCGATCCAAAAACCTCTCGGCGTATCTCACATTTTGTACCCCAAGAATGATCGGCGTCTCCATGTACTCAATACAGCCTTTGTGGTTGGTGTTAAGTGTGCTATCTTCACCAGCGGTCGCACAAGGTATACTTAATAGTGTCGACAGCCAAGATGGAGATGGCGAATCAGAGTCATCTTCAACGACGCAAAATGTTTCCTCTAAAGGAATGATTATTTTGTGCACCATCGTGGCATTGGTGTTGGTTATCGGTGGTATGTCTCTGAGGATTGAAAGAGGTTCAAGGGTCCGTTCAGTGGTCGAACAGGCACTGACAATTCTGCTGTCATAGTATTATTCACCGTTGTGTTCATTACTGTAAAGAAGAGGAGCTCGAAGACACCAAAGACATCCTCCTTACCAGATGAAGCAGCCACAGATATCACGGAAAGATCGTTGAGTGGCAATACACCGACTGAAAGGGACGGATCTAGATCCGATACTCTGAAACACGAAGAGATTCAACCAGATATAGAGAAGAATGCTGGCGTTGATCCAAGCCGACCGCACAGAAATGCTTGGATGAAGCAAAGAGGATGGGGATCCTACTTTTCTTTCGGGCGCGCATAAAACCATCTCACAGCCACATCACTTGGTTCAACTCGGATATTTCGAGCGATCCAGTCAAGAGACATTTAATGGAGCAGCTCAGCGTGATGGCTTTCTTTCCAGTTATTGTATTTTTTCATATTCTTTCTTGTCGTGCCATCATCCCCCCACCCCCCACCCCTTGATGTACCTTTGGAGAATACCCCGCACTCAGTAAATGTGAAAGTGACTCCTATATGGGGTAGAAGCATCAGGATCGAGGAATGATGAGAATGACCACACCGATAATCACACTTTCTGTCTGTAGGGGAGCGTCGATGCCATGGAAAGCCTTGCCCAAACAATGTTGAGTGGAGACGCCCCGCGGTGTGCTGCAGTGGATCATCCAATCAGTCGCGCCAATTCCATGCTTCGTGGATGACGGCAAGTCTTTCCGTCTGGAGTGAGCAACTCCACCCGTCTTGGTTCTACACAACTGTCTATCGGTGCATGAATCTCTCTCCGCTCCATTGCATAAACAACGCAGAAACCCAATTACTGCCCACCTACAGAGGGGGAAATATGGACTTGAGGTTTGAAGAAGGAAATTTTCCCCATCAGCCTTGCTGGACCCAGTACAATGTACTCTGAAGCCTCCAGAACATATAAGGCCTCTGGATCTCGCCCAGCAGGTTTCATTTCATTCCAATCAACGAGAAATCTTGTGAACAATTCTTATATTGAATTATCAAAATCAATCTCACTCTTCTTCTTTATTTACACACAGAATTTCATCTCACAATGCCTATTCAAAAGCTAAAAGTTGGTATGGCTGGTCTGGGCCGGATAGGCAAGGTCCATGTCCATAACTTCCTTCACCAAACCCCACGGGCCGAAGTTGTCGCAGCCTTCTCCCCCGACCCAGCTGAGATCACATGGGGAAGACAGCATCTGGAGCCGTATGGAGTTACATTATATGACAACTACGACAAGATGCTGGAGCACCCCGGCTTGCAAGCAGTCGTCATCGGGACGGCAACCTCGGTACATGCCGAGGAGACAATGAAAGCTATCGATCGGGACCTGCATGTCCTTTGTGAGAAGCCATTGTCAATTGATGTGGAAGTGGTATGTCTCAAATATCTAATAAAATTGGACCCCAGCTGTAGTTTCTCCTCCCACCCTTGCATGTGGCTAACTCCTTGGTAGTGCAGAGCAGTTGCGCAAAAGGCCAAGACTAAGCCACACTTGAAGGTGATGTGTGGCTTTTCTCGGAGATTCGATGACTCCTATCGCGAGGTCTACGATAAGATCAGCCAGGGCATGATCGGGCGTCCCTCCATCGTGAGAAGCCAGACCTGTGACAAGTACGACCCCTCGGGGTTCTATGTGGCTTACGCTGCGTGGTCGGGTGGTGTGTTTGTGGACATGTCTGTGCATGACATTGACTTGACATTATGGTTTATGGGAGAGGACTCGGTCCCCAAGAGTATCTCCGCCCATGGCATCACGGCTGTCCAGCCGGAGTTGAAGAAGTACAAGGACTACGACAACGCCGTCGGAATTGTTGAGTTCCACAATGGCAAGATCGCCTACTACTACTGCTCTCGAATGATGCCCCACGGACAAGAAGATACGACGGAGGTTATTGGCACCGAGGGGAAGCTGTCTGTCAACATCAACCCACAACGCAACTTCGTCAACTACTACCACAATGGAGGCATCACTCGCGAGGTCCCCGCGAATTTCCACGGGCGCTTCGGAGGTGCTTTCGTGAACGAGGCGAATGAGTTCACTGCCTCTTGCTTGGATAACAAGCCACTACCTCTTAAGTTGTCCAACGCAGTCAAGGCTGTTGAGATTGGCGCATACCTTCAGGAGGCGTTGGTGACAGGGAAGCAGATCCACTTCGATGAGATCGGTAGAAGGATTGAGAAGTCTCAGTTGTAGGATGGATGGACTGAATATTCAATCTGCTGCAAGCTTTGACTTTTACTTATATTGTTCGAATTTTAAAAAATATCTAAGGTGTTCAGAATACCTCGTACTGCTTCCTCACTCTGTATTGTACGTAGATTAGGTCAATTAAGCTGGGGAAAATGGCACTATTCCAAAAACGGCATCCCCGCATTCCGGGCCTTTTAACCAGGGAGATCATCGAATCATCGACTCATGACAACCAGTCCGTCCCAGCGCTTCCATGGTAATTAGTCTGCAACGCGACCAACATGATGTTTATCACCGATGGTGTGACTGGCTCCACTGCGTCGTCAAAAGGTCCCAGGGGACGAGCGGGTTCCTGAGCGCGTCTGGCCAGGCTGCCACGCCAGCTCAAGCTCCAATGACGAAATGCACGGCTGACGACGCCCACGATCGACGAGAGAGCTCCATCCAGCCAGCCAGGGGTGCCTTTTCTCCCCATTGAACTTCAGCGCTGAACTCCGCTCCAACCCCACTCTCCGTTTCACTTCATCATCTTCTTCATCATCATCCCATTGCTGTCTTCCATGCTGGCGGACAGTAAACTCCCCATTATATTTGACTACCTCCACGGCTGGATCTCCGGGACGTAGTTAGTTCAACATGTATCTAGACTTCACCAAGAGCCTCGGTATTGGCTCGCTCACTACCATGCTTCTCTCCGCATTCTCCCCACGAGAGCGTGCGCTCGTTGATCATCAGCCAGCGCTGCCTCCTTCCTATCCGCTGGCCGTCCGAAGTCCCTATCTCTCGACATGGATGCCCAGCGATCAGGTTCAGAAATTGCCGTATGCGGAGCCCCAGTTCTGGGCGGGACAGAGTCTCACCTGGTCGGTTATGGCTCGCGTCGATGGCCAGGCGTACAGTTTGATGAGCGTCAAGAATCCGGGCGAGAACATTCGTCCTGCTATCGTTCGAAGCGCCGAGTATACTGCGACCCATTCAGTGTTTACTCTTTCCGCTGGTTCGGTGGTTTTCACTTTGGACTTTTTCTCGCCCATATCGCCCTCAAACTATCTGCGACAGTCCCTTCCTTTCAGTAAGATATCGTGACTTCAGCTGGGCTTATCGTATCTCAGTAAACTGACCGTTTGGTGGGAAAGGCTACTTGACTGTTTCTGTATCGGAGGGGTCCTCCAAGAGCGTTCAGATCTACTCTAGTATTGACGGAAGATGGACGGGCAAGCCACAACAAACCACACGTGGTTTCCGCGAAACAGGTTCCACGGCCGTCTTTTCCTTGGGGTTGAAGAACGGCGTCCCTTACTCTGAAGTAGATGACATGGCCACTTGGGGCGAGGCGATATTCGCCTCTCGTCCTACTTCCAGGTCCAAACTCTCCTTCTCATCCGGTAAACGTGGTGATGTGCGTTCTCAGTTTGTCAGTACCGGGAGGCTAGTCGACAACCGCCAGTCATGGGCTCCAGGAGGGATTGTGGCCCTTTCACACGACTTAGGAAGGGTTGACAATGGAGCATCGGTGACATTTGCCGTTGGACATGTGCGCGAAGAGTCCATTAATTACCTGGGCAAGCCATACACCGGTTATTACCGATCGCAGTACCCGGATAGCCACGACGCGGTCTCTTACTTCCTTGACGACTATGACGACGCTCTGCAGGAGTCCCGGGTGCTGGATACGGAGATGGCCAAGCAAGCCAAAGCAGCGGCTGGCCAGAAGTACGCCGATATTGTCACACTGTCGGCTCGCCAGGCGTACGGAGGGATAGAGGTGACCATTCCTAATGACACTCTTGACACCACCGATGTTCTGGCATTCATCAAGGAGCTTTCCAGCAATGGCAACCTCAACACAGTGGACGTTATCATGCCTGCCTTCCCGATCTACTACGTTCTGGACCCGGACTACATCCGACTTCTGTTGGAACCGATGATGAGGTACCTGGCTGCTGGCCGCTGGCAAAAGCCGTATGTGATTCACGACATGGGCAAGCATTATCCCAATGCCATCGGACATGACAATCAGAAGGCCGAGCCAATGCCAATCGAGGAATGTGGAAATCTAATGGTACTGATCCTGGCCTACGTGCGAGCAACGGGTGACACCGAATGGGCTGCCCAGTACACCGACCTCCTGAGGGGCTATGCGGACTACTTGGTCGATAATGGTGTTGATATCACCAAGCAGCTGTCTTCCAACGACGCGGCTGGCGCACTTGCCAATGAGACGAACCTTGCCATCAAGGCGGCCGTCGGTATCAAGGCATTCGGCGAACTGACGGGACTTTCCGAATACTCTGAAATCGGCGAAGCGCGCGCGGATCTGTTCTTCACCCAGGGCCGTGGAACAGACGGGAATAAGACACATTTCGTGCTGCAATACCCCGACAAGCCAGCCTCGTGGAAAATTCCATACAACCTCTACCCAGATGTACTGTTGGATCTTCAGACCTTCCCAAAAGCGGCATACGAAATGGGAAATACCTTCTTCAAGTCTGTTCGAGCCGAATATGGAGTTCCGTTAGATAACCGGCAAGACTGGGCCAAGTCGGACTGGAACATGTGGTTGGCAGGCACATTTGATGCCGACACTCGGTCTGAGTTTGTGGATGATCTCTGGAGTTTCATGACCAACGGAAAACACAACTGGCCGTTCTCCGATCGGTACGTTGCCACATCCGCCAAGGGACGGAGCCCTGGGGTACCTGTATTGTGCCGAGCTCGCCCAACAGTGGGCGGTCATTTCGCCTTGATGGCACTACAAGGACCCAAGTCTCTTCAGGCTGCTGTGTCGAGGCAGGTGTTGGGTGAAGGAGGCAACAAAGAAGGCAGTAACAGCCAGAAGATTCTTTTGAACCAAGGAGAAAATCTGTAGATTAGGCAGAGACTCTTTGTGTAGCGCAAGATCAATTGTGAATATAGTATATATGATGAGGTAGATTACAGGGAAATGGGTGATGTCGACCATCTCATGACTTACCTGCTGTGCCAGTGCTGTCAGGTACTTTCCTGTTTGGGCCCGACTTGAAGTGTGACTTGGGCATTGTGTAGATTGGGCGAGATCTAGATAGATCATCCCTGTGGTGAATGAAGGCTAAGGAAACACCCGACAAAGATTTTTCGAGTTACTCCGTAGATCTCAACTCATTCACCTATCGGTGTTACTTCTGGTCCCAATTAGTTACTGCTACTTTTTTCCTAGTGGTTGTGGGTGTTGTTGTTGTTGTTGTCCCTTGCGCCCGTTTGCTGGAAAGCTTGCCCCTGGGGCTTACATAAGCGGAGAGGCATCACTTCGGCTGGCAGCGACTCTGAGTCTCTCTTTCGCCGTGTTCCAAACCGCCTCGTCGTGCTTGCTTCCTTCTCCCCCCCAGTCGTCTTTCTTCGTCTTCTTCCTCTTCTCTCGCCCCGTCTCTTTTCCTTCTCCTTCTGCCTCATCATCAACTACTCTTGACCTTTTCTTTCTCGCTTTTCCGACCTCTACTTCCAGTCCCTACTCATGGCTTCTGTAAGTGCTCCCTCTCTGGTTTCTGCCCCCGTATAGCTAAGCTGTGATGTGATGGCTGTCCAACGTCATGCCCCCCTCTGAATCCGCGCGTTGGCGATCCTCCAACGCGCTCAGATAAGATCTTGCCCTTCCCCGTGCTGACCTCATGCTCTTTTTTCCTTGTCTAGCCCCGTCCTCCACACAACTTCGGTCCTCAAGGCTATCCCCTCCCCAACGGTGCTGTTCCTTCTGGTCCCGTCCCCGGCGCCGCCCCTCTCCTCCCCAACAATGGTCGAATCATTCAGAATGGTCCCGTCAGAGTGCTGTGCATTGCGGACGTGCGAGGTATGTGCTCCGGATCTAGCTCCGGTAACGATCCCGGATTGGTAGACCCGATTGAGCTGATTTGGGAAATCTGTTTTGCTTTTTCCTCGGCGCAGGTAATCTGAAGTCCTTGAATGAGTTGGCCAGGCAGGCCCGTGCAGACCATATCATCCACACTGGTGACTTCGGTTTCTACGATGACACTTCGCTCGAGCGCATTGCAGACAAGTCAGTGACCTTCCCCGTCCCCCGATTCGTGAAGCTGCTTTCAGCCGCTAGAGAGCTTTCATGCATGATAAACATGTGACCCGATCGAACTAACACCAATCTGCATCTCGACGATTAGGACTCTTAAGCACGTGGCCCAATACTCTCCCCTGCTCCCCGAGAATGTCAAGCGCACGATCGCCCAGACTCCTCCCCAGCAGTCGATCAAGCAACGATTCACCCCCGATCAGCTACCCCTCTCAGAGCTTCCCATGCTGCTCGACAAGCGGCTCACCCTCGATGTTCCTGTCTACACTGTCTGGGGTGCCTGCGAGGATGTTCGCGTGTTGGAGAAGTTCCGTTCGGGAGAGTACAAGGTTGACAAGCTGCACATCATCGATGAAGCCAACTCGCGGCTACTCGACATTGGCGGTGTGAAGCTCCGTCTCCTGGGTCTGGGAGGAGCTGTGGTTATGCACAAGCTGTTCGACAATGGCGAGGGCAAAACTACTATTGCTGGTGGTCAAGGCACCATGTGGACAACCCTGCTGCAAATGGGAGAGCTGATTGACACAGCAAACCGTGTATACGACCCCTCAGAGACCCGGATCTTCGTCACGCACGCGTCGCCGGCTCGTGAGGGCATGCTGAACCAGCTGTCGGTCACGCTCAAGGCTGATTTCTCCGTCTCCGCTGGCTTGCACTTCCGTTACGGCTCGTCCTACAACGAATTCTCCGTCAACCCCTCCCTCGACCACTACCGGGGCAAGCTCGCCGCTTCCAAGGCTTCCTTCAATGATGTGTGGGAGACTGTCCGCGGCGAGGTTGAGGCCGCCATTTCGCAGAACGAGGCTCAGAAGACTTTGCTCGACAATGCCCTGGAGGTGGTCACCAAGATGCCTACCGTTGCCAACGGTGGCAACCCGTTCGGTGGACCTGCTGCTCCCGGCAACGCAGCTGGCCAGGTCGACGAAAGCGCCTTCAAGAACATGTGGAACTTCAACTTGGCGGACGCAGCATTCGGCTTCTTGGTGCTTGAGATCGAGTCGGGCCGCATCGCTACCGAAATGCGCGCTCAAGGATTCAACTTTGCCCACCGTACTGGCAAGCCCCAGCCCGCTGGCCCAGCCCAGCCCGCTCCCGTCCCCGCTGGCGCCCCCGCTGGAATTGCCTCGCCTCGCGTTCCCGGAGCTGCTCCCCAATTCGGTCAGGCCCAACCTGTTCCCGCCCGCACGGGTCCCCTTCCCCAACAGCAGGCCCCGGCTCAGGCCAAGGCTCCCGCCGCCGCTCCCGCTCGTACATCCCCCGTTCCCGTGATCCCTAAGCCTGCTACGCCGCAGCCTGCCGCCGCCCCTGCTGCGCAGCCCGCCGTGACGTCCCCGGAGAGAACCACGACTGCCGAGGCCAATGGTACCGCTCAGCCTGAGAAGCCCTCCGAATCTCCGCTGCCCAAGATTGAGAAGAAGCAGAGCAACGGCCTCTTCGTCTCGAACGTTGAGAATGAACAAGCTGTGCGTGATCTCTTCCCCGAGGAAGACAAGGCCAAGATCACAAAGATTGAGAAATGGGGCAAATACAACAACCATGTCGTCCACTTCGCGACTGTCGAGGAGGCCAAGGCTGCTCTCGATCGCCAGCCTGCCGAGCACAAGAAGCCTACCCCTGCCGGTCAGCCCCGTAAGCCCAACATCAAGTTCTTCGAAGACCGGGGCAGCCACCGCGGCAATGCCGGTACATGGCAGAGCAGCAACCGTGGTGCCAACGCCCCCCAGCGCGGGTACCAGAGCGGAGGTGCCAGTGACAGCGAGACTAACCGCGGACGTGGATTCCGTGGCCGAGGTGGTGCTGGCCGCGGCGACCGGGGCGGACGTGGCGGACGTGGCGGTCGCGGTGGGTTCAACAAGGGAGGTGCTCCGACTTCAGACTCGGGACCAGGCGACAAGCCCGCTGCAACTGGAGGCGACGCTTGATATGTGTGATTGCGCCTGATTCCCCGTTCTGATTTCATGTCCCCCTTTGTTTCTCCAATTCCCCCATTCTATCTTTCTTTCCGAAAGTGTTATTTTCTACCCTCAGCCATCTCTTCTTCCTGTCCAATGTTTTCATTAATCTCACGCTTTTCGATCGGTATTTTAATTTTCTATTGTTGTGATACTTGCTAAATGACGTCTTTTCCTCTTTTCACCTTGTTCTTGTCCTTTTTCAGCGAGATGTGCGTCAAACTTGTTTTCCCATTCATCTTCCTCTTTCCTAGTAGACACTTCGCGCTGGCGACGGGATGAATCGGTTACTTTAACTGCTCAATTCCATTTCCCACTCGGATCTTTAGGACCCCAGGAGTCGTTGGTGCGGATCCGAAGGCAGAAGCAGAGGCGGAGACAGAGAGACACAAGCGGAGTTGCAAGCAGAAGCAAGCGGAGGAGGAGAGGTGGGTTGTGTATGTGTGCTATCGAACTTGGTATGATATTATGGTCTTTGATTTTGTTGGGTGGGTGGCCGCGGGAAACGGGAATACAAAAAGCGAAGGGATATTTTATCTGAGGTTACTTTGCGAAAAACGAAAAAAAGAAGAAACAAAACCACAAAACGGCCAACGGCGAGGATTCTTTTGTATTCTATATTCTCCTGGAACGGACCAATATCGATACCCTTGTAACTTCATGCGGTTTGTCTACTACATACTGACTTAGTAGCGTTCTATCATCTGGTAATATCCTACAAGTACTAGCGATAGTAGACTCAGGTTGGTTCGGTAGTAGGTAGTACCGTACAGCTATCGCCAAGGGTATTCTGGACAACATGACTTATAATCCTGGTAGTACGAGGTTATTCTCAATTTCGTGACCATAACCTGGCAACTGTGAACTATATCGTAAAGATTATCGATACTAATTACTATATAGTACTCTAGTCATAAAGTAGGCTAGTAGTAGTACTACGAACTTATGAATGGGGTGAGTGAGTACTGCCAGGATATATATTCCGGGCGGGTGCGGCGGTCAGGCACCACATACATACATACATACTAAAGACGGTCTTGAAAGGGACACTACAACCGATTGAACTCTAAGCAGTACTAGTACTAGTACTTACTACCATGACTGTAATAGCAACAAATGGATAGTTGAAGGATCAATGAGGGCATCAATTACTCGTATGTAGGAGTACCGGAGAAGAGAGAACTGGCGTCTTATTACTTCATGGCTATACAGAGATACTACCTCACCCAGAGACATACGCCGATTACGCCCAAATAGACATGAACAACCCTTTCGCATATTTCCAAGGGTAGGTAGGTAGGTAGACAGATAGATTGAAAAAGCAATATATCACTCGAAATCCCTCAGCCACCCAGCTTTTTTGAGTACATGTGGTGTGGTGGGCTGAAAGATCAAGGAACCAGCGGTGCATATACATAGGAACAAGCACGCAAACCCAAGTGGTAAGATGAAATGAACGAGAGAATACTCCAACGGTGATGGTGTACAGTCTGCCAACCCGAAGCTTCCTATATTGCATTAAAATTTTCCTGTGCAAACCACGCCTCCTGTTCGCCTGCAGTGGTCTTCGTGAAAGAAAGAAGAAGAAGATAGTAGAGAAAGTACAGTCATAAAAGTAGATGGAGAAATGTAATATGTGTTGGGGAGGTTATTGCCTTGCTCCAAAAGTCTTTCCATGAAAAATTGTCCAATCGAAGATTGCGGTAAATAACCTGGAGTACTCCGTGGATTTTCACTTTGGGTTCGTGTGAAAAACCTCCCATATCCAATATTCCCTTTTGTCGTAACGGCGTCAACAACAGCTTTGCATTACATGTATGGGTATCTGAATCGCAGAATGATGGCAACGAGGGCAGTATGCGGCGGGCAGCGCAGGTGCGAACTAACTTATTGTTTCCCCTCGCTTGACTATTTCGCCCGCCCCATGATGTCGTCAACATCTTGCTGGTTGACGACCACACCGCCCTCCGAACACCGCGCCTTCATGCGTAGTTCGGAGCAAAGATGATCGACATCGAGCTCTCCGTTGCGGAATCTCTCCATGGATTGCAGACGATCCCTTGAAAAAGAAAATGTTAGTACAAATGTAATTATTGGGGGGTCCAACAGGATAAGCATACCATATCTTCGTGCAACTCAGCATCTGAGACTTATCTTCTCCAGGCACAACCTCTTCATCCAACTTGCTGTCGATCTCTGCGATCAAGTCTTTCTTCGGCGGTTGTTGGGTGGCCGCTTCCGTGAGGTTGTGTGAAGGGCTTCCCAGATCGGGCAGGGGGAAGGCATCGTCAAAGAATGTTCCAAAGTCCTGAGACAGGATTGCATCCTGAGGCTCACGCCAGTCTCCGAAGAGAACGGGATCGAACTGGCCACCGTTCTGCTGAGCGAGCGTATCTAGACCCGCAACATCCTCGTGGGGAGCCTCCTGATTAGGGGTATTTGATGCGCTTTGGCTGTTATGCCGGACGGCTGGAATGGGGTTATTGATATTGCCACATGCCATGCCAAGTTGCGCGCAGAAGGATTCCTCACCATCGATGGTGGTATAAGTGCAGCCATCATGAGCACCGTGGTGGTGATGAGCCTTAGTAGCAGGAGAATTAATAGTGGGTTCTGGGGATGTGCCGTTGGACGAAAGACTCTGGCTCTGGTGGGAATCGGACGAGGAGGATGGCGAGTCAGTTGTTGAGGAATCATGCGTAGAGGTGGATTGAGCCGTGCCGTTGTATAAGGACACCTTCGGAGTGGACTTCCTCGTGGACGCAGGAGTGGAACCCTGGTGGGACACGGAGCTGGGAGTCCTGCCCGCGGGCGCACCGTTGGACTGAGCACTGCTCAGAGAGTTACGGCTCACAACACCGGGCACACGGGAGTCATTACGCGACGTTGCTGTTGATGGCTCTCCTTTAGCACTCTGCTGCGCCTTGGACAATTGGCCGTTATTGAAAATGTGGGAGCCCGGAAGATCCCCGAATTTGGGGAAGTCAAACATGAAATCATTGTTCTGAAGGCCATACGATCCCTTGTTGGGATAGGCTCCGGGGATGGCATTCATGGCAGAGACACCAGTTCCCGTGGTCAGCCAGGAGAGACGCTTGCGATACTCTTTCAATTCGACTTGCAGGCGGTCGATTTGAGCACGGAGCAACCCATTTTCCTGGTTCGCGTTGTCAGAAGCCTTCTGCAGCTCATCTACCTTCGTTTCCAGATCCTTCAAGTGTTTCTCCTTGCGTTCACGGAACGCTCGCTGCGCAGCCCGGTTCTGTGCCTTCCGCTTCTGCGAGTTTGTTAGTGTCACGGGACTCTCGGCGCCCACATCGCGATAACCGAGCATACGTACCGAGGTTGGCTCGGAAGTCAAGGGCTTCCTTCCTGGCTTCTTTGCCGCCTTTTCATCGCTTTCTCTTCGCTTCTTGCCAGAAGCTTCATTCTCATCCGCATCGCCATCGATGTCCTTCCTCTTCTCTCCCGGCTCGGGTTCCTCCGATTGCGGCAGGCTCTCGGGAAGATCACCAATCAAGTTCTCGGAGCCTTGAAAGTCAAAATCCAGTTCGGGGTTGAAGTCCAGGAAGGGACTTTCATCATCGCCATAACCCAGGCCACCCGAGTGAGGGTTAGAGGGGTCGAACGCAGGACTCATATTGTAACTACCTGTGGTTGCAGGGGTAGACTCGGGGTCTGACTTGGAAGCCGGGGGGTGGGAATTATTTTGCTGTTTTGCGGGCGGATTGTTGGAAGAGAGAGCAGCGAGGAGGAGATCTTGCTGATCTGGCGACAGGTAAAGACCGTGCTGATAGAGGGAATTGTAGTCGGCCATTGTATTCAGAATATCGCAGTCGATAGTGATGATTAGAGCGGGAAGGTGTTAAAACTGTGGGGAAGTGTCAAGTGTTGCTCAACAAAAGTGATCTCCAAGTAATAGTAGATTCGATGAAAAGCAGGCCGGGCTTCCCGCCCGTTCGTTGTATCGATAGGTGGCCCCCAGAGATGGGTCGAGGAGGAGGGGTTCCGGTACGATGACACCGGCAGAGACCAGAGGAGGGGCACAATATTTTTTTCGAAGACTGAAACGAACCACCTACAGCTGTCACGTCACCGTGAACTGCAAGTAGAGTTGTTGGGGGAAGCAATTTGAGGCTGGAAGTCTCTAGAAGGTGTTGGGGAGACGGGGTGTTGCGGGAGAAGTGAGATTCGGAAGACTGATGAAGTTGAGGATGACAATGCGTGAAGGAGAGGCGCAAGGCAGGCGAGACGCACAAGCCGCAGAGAGGTCTGTCTGACGAGCCAAAACGGGGCTAAGGAGAGGCAGACTAAAGACGAATCACAGGTCGTGAAAGAGGACGAGAGGGAGGGGAGAGGGGCTGGTAAGTGAAAGGGAAGATGGGAAGAGGAGGATGATGCAAGATGGATGAGAGGTAGGGGGATGCAGTAGGGCGAAAGAATGCGAGACCCGTCGTTAAGGGTCTAGCCGAATGGAACGAAATTGTGGCACCGGGTAGGGGGGAGAAGATTGGTTCTTGATGCGGGTTGGAAGAAAGGAAGAGGGGGGGGAGAGAGCGTGAGAAGAGGAGAAGGAAGAGGAGGCCGTGGATGGAACAAGACAAGCCTAGTAGTGAGTAGTACTAAGAGAGAGGCAGATGGAATGGAATCTTCGACTGAACTAGTAAGAGGGGGGCGATGGCCTCGAGGGGCGGTGGGTAGAATGGAAGATGATGATTGGTTACAGAACCCTGCAGAAGGCAAAAAGTGTAGCCTGAGGTGTTCTGCCGGTGCAAACCTCAGGCTGCAAGTGGGGAAGCCAGTGACTCCTGCTTAGAAATCCAACCCGAAAAGCCTCTGCGGTTTTTCTCTCTTCGCCCATTTGCTTCTCTACCACTTCGGCATTGCTTGGTTCCTTGGTTGGTCACCTCTTTACAATCATCAACCTGACGATGGATTTGACTCTCGCAGCACTCTTCAGCCTGAAACTGGTACGAGGCACTAGTATTTAGTCTCTGCCTTCTATCTAGCTAGTCTATCTACGCCATCGTTAGATAGGTAGATGTCTGCCCCCCTCCCTGGCAAAACCGGGACCATCCTTTGTCTGGACGATGCTACTCCGTACTAAACGAACCGATCGACTGTCTCACCCAAGAAAAGTGACTCATGGGGCGCCACTTTTCTCGGACGCGGACACGGGTTCTTTCCTTCGCCGTCACCTCACCGCCCCCCAGCTTCAGTGTTAAGACCAGACAGACCCTCCGACTTTCGGTGCTCATGCTGATGCCTATCACTCTGCGATTTCGGATGCCTCGGAAGGATTACTGTATTCCAAATAGTTGCCCGTCAACCGCATGGTTTCTCCATGAGAGCACTGTAGGCACTGTAGCAGCTAGGCATTATCTCGAGTGCACCTCGTAAGCCGGCGATAACCTAGATTATTTGGCCAGAGCTCCCCTACTCTCGGTCGAATGCATGGCCACCCCGACCGATCACAACCGGGGCAAGCGGTGTGAAACCCACTAAGGGATCTGGATCTCCGATGCTTAAGGTTTAGCCTATGGCGACGAGTAGTCTGCCACGGCTGACGAGTCCTAAGATTGGATGGCCATTGATCTCCCCGCCCTGTTTTGACTGCTGGACTGCCGCCGCCGCTGCCCCATCAGTATCAACTGTTGCTGTAGCCTGTAGCTTGTAGCATGTGGCATGTAGCCTGATAACGCGGGTTGGACGGACACCTGGCAGATCTCGGGCCAATTATCACCCCCATCGGTTGGCCTTTGTTCCGCAGCCGAATGACGTGAGGATCGACTGTGGAAGCGGACACCAACCAGGTGTTGACCCGTTGACCCGTAGCTTAGATAGTGGATGCGGGCGTGGCCTGAGATCGGAGCTTTTCTGGACTTCGGCGGCCTGTCTTTAATGTAACCGTGGGGAAGTCGAACCGGGACAAGATAGTGACCGGCCCAAGCCTGAAGTTGCAGGAATTTATTGCTACTTTGCCATAAACGTTAGCAACCCAGAACGTCCACTAGTGAGTTAGTGATGAATGGTACTTTGTAGCAGCAGGAGCGAGCGAACGCAGATAACGGATAAGTTAAACATGTGACTTGCGCCCATGCATCTGTGGCGGTGCGAATGCACGTGATAGTCACGAGCCGCAACGGGGCCCCCGCCACAGCCCAGTCTTATCCCCAAAGGCGACTTCTCTTATCTGCAAAACCTCAGATTTGCTCCAGCCCGACCGCCACTCCACCCCAACGACTGCCATCATCCTGCGCACTCGCCATTCTTTCATCCTTTGGTTTCCCGCAGGACTTAATTACCTTCTCTCTTTACTGCTTTTTAATAACACAGCAATGTCGGACGTCGCTGCCCTGGAGGCAGAAGTCAAGGAGTTCAAGCTCCAGGTACGCGCCTACATAGCCATCACCGTCCGTCCGTGACTAACCGTCACTCTCCCAGCTTGAAACCGTCCAATCGAGTTTGCAGGTAGACCCAGAAAACACGGAATTGCAGAGTCTCAAAACTGAGCTGGAAGAACTTATAAACCTCACCGAAACATCCATTGCCGAACTCAAACCTCCCGCGCCTCCCGTGTCTCAGCCGCCGGCGTCCGCGGCCAAGGACAACAGGGCCAAGGACTCTTACGCTTCTCAACCAACATACCGCAAACCGACGGTCGAACAAACGGATGAACCGTCAACTCAGACCTCGTTTTCCGTCAACGAGCACGTTCTCGCCCGGTGGGTGTCGGGCGACAACTCGTTTTACCCAGCGCGTATCACCTCCATCACCGGCTCTGCGAGCAACCCCGTGTATCTCGTCTCGTTCAAGTCCTATGGGACGGTGGAAAATCTAACCTCCAAAGACATCAGGCCCATCTCCGGCAATGACTCGCGAAAGCGCAAGGCTGATGCAAGCTCAGGCAATTCCTCATCACAATCTCCGGCGCCGCCGCCGCCCCACTCGAGCGTGATCTCCGCCGCCGCGGATATTAATCCCGCGTTGGCCAACCAGGCACGTAAGGAGCCGAGCAAGGTGAGCGATGGGCCGGCGCGCCCGGCCAAGGTGCCCCGGAAGGTGAAGGCTACGCGGGAGCTCGAGGCGGGCAAGATGAAGTGGAAGGATTTTGCCAGCAAGGGTAAATTGGGTCGCAAGGAGAGCATGTTCCGCACGGGCGATGGAGTAAATGCCCGAGGTGAGTGGACTCTTCCGTTAGACCACACGCGACTGGAGACTGACTGCAATAGTGGGCTTTACTGGCTCTGGCCAGCAGATGCGCAAAGACCCTGGACGTTCACGACACGTCTACCAGCAGGGCGAAGAGGAAGGCTACTAGCAGGACTAATGATGGATGGGCTTTACTCTGTTATTTTTCTGTCCCTACCGTGTGTCACATCGCTAACGGGCTATGGTGTCAGATCTAGTGAAGCGAGCCAGTCGTACATATTATAAAATTTTGATATCCAGACGCATCATCGTTAATGATGTGATGCGTCATTGTAGTAACTTATGTTCATGTCTACTTTTGGATCCCTGTTCTATTTGTAGCGTGCCGTCTAGCTGGAAACCCTGACGATGATCAACTACCACTCGTCCAGCTACATTTAGAGAGACACCACGGAATTGTCGTCCATTTACGCCAGTGCTATTATAACGCCCTTTTGCTCTCCTCGATCACTTGGAAGTCGGTCTCAACCATGATCCTGCCTTCTTCACTGTCGTCTTCTCTGCGCATAGAGTCCATCTCGACTCGAACAGTCTGTGTTGCAAGCAGGCTTTCGTCCCAATCCCTGGGCCTCCTCACGGGGGCATTCTTATTTTGACTGGACAGTTTATTCTCCGAGCTACCCAGGTATTTTCCCACACGCGAGCCGAATATACGTTGGATGGTGTACCGCAGTAGGGGTTGCAAGGTAGGCAGACAGGCACAGACAATCCCGATGCACGGCTCCACACTGGACCAGATGAAGACATTACCCATGATCCAGGTGATATCCACAGACCTACTAAGAAACGTCATGTAATAGATTCGAATGAGACTCGCCACGCAGACACTGCAAACATCGTTTTTGTATCAGTCATCAGACAGGATGAGACATGGGAACGGAAAGGCGGGGTTCAGCACGACATACAAGCTGCCAAGTAGAAAAATGCTGCAAACCAAAACCTTCTGGGTGGTTCGCATTTGAAGCCTCCAGATAAGTGGCATGGGCACCAGCAGAATGATCACGTCCGTGGACACGTTTGCAGCGGCGTTCCCAATATAGAATGGATAAAGATTGTAGACGCAATGGCCGCCAGCGGGATCAGCATACTGCGTCCAATAGTATGAGACAGGTCTGCAACAGACGAGGAAGGCGACGGTGCAAGAAAACCAATATCCGATGGTCAATGCGACGCAGAACCACATCGCCTTGTTCATTCCGAAAATGCGACGGTAGAAGAGGATGACCGAGAGCTTGATCAAGGGTACGGTAACGACGTATATGAGGACATATGCGAACAGAATTTGCACCACCTTGATCACATCGTCTAGGGGTATAGCCCATACATGCTTTCCAAGGCCATAATAGCCTCCTGAAGATGGCTGGTCAGTACGCTTTCTCGGTGTTTGGTCTGGCGAACGAACCGATGATGGTGGAGACGAAATTCGCAGTCACAGACAGCTGTAGCCATTATGATCATCAGTATCTCCATGCCGTGTCTGAGGAATGGTCACAAGTACGTACCAAAGCAGCAACTATCATCCAATCATCCGCGGCGATGGAAGCTTGTTGCACCCGGGTTCTCGCGAGAAATCGAAAGGCAATGGCGATGGCCGCCAGCACGTATGTGACACTAACAGCTGCATTGTTCACTCCACGCCTGCTGGCTGTCAAGTCCGTCCCTGGTGGAGGATCCCCGAAGACGCTGCTGGACATGCCTGTTGCCACTTGCAGAGGAAGACATATCGAGTGGACTGAAATGTACCACCGGGCCCTTAAGATAGAAACCAGTTTTGACACACGACCCTGTTCAGTAATAGGCCGCAGTGCATCTAGTGAGCCGAACCCGTCAATCACATTCAAGTCCTTGGATGTGGCACGCCGCTAGGATGCTCTAGCGATCCTTCCAGCCCCTTTCCTGACAGCCCCGGCCCCCAAACCAGGCGGGCCGGCGGGTCCGTGTCTTTGACAGCGGGTGGCTTCACTCCCGGTGCCCTTGCCATCTCGAAGGTTCAATCTGGCCGTTTTGACATCAAATTCCTGCGAGATTTAACGTCTGACAGGTCCAGGATCCTACCGCCAACGCAAGTTTCTTTCAATCACCTTTTGCGTCGCACTGTATTGGTAGACTCGCTAAATGGATTTGGCGCTAATTTATCATCCTGCGAATCAATCGGGCTTGTAGACTTACCCATTAGGGTAACCACTAACTTAGACCGGCCTTTAGTTCCTGATACTATAAGGCTACGGCCGGGGGAAAACCGGAAAACAAAGGACTGCGAGGATATCATATAATTAGTAACGATGTCCCCTGTTTCGAGATCTTGGCTATTGTGAGAGCGAACCTGCGTGTCTGCAACTCCTCTCGCAAATTTGAGGATTTCTTTGCCATCACCATGCCATCCAGAGAGTCCGTTCCTTCTGAATCCACAGCATATGCTGTAGATCCCAAGCGATTTGCTTTCACTCCTCGAAAACTCAGAGTCGTCTGCATTGGAGCGGGCTTTTCGGGACTGATCCTTGCACACAAGCTCAAGCACGAGCAGCCTCTTGATTTTGTTGACTTCACCATCTATGAAAAGAATCCCGAGGTAGGGGGTACTTGGTTTGAGAACATCTACCCTGGTGTGGGCTGCGACGTGCCTGCTCACAGTTATGTATTTCCCTTTGAGCCCAATCCGTCCTGGTCGCAAAGCTATGCCAAGGGCCCGGAAATCGAGGAATACATCCGATCGACAACTGAGAAGTACGGGCTGAAGGAGAAGATCATCTTCAACACCCGACTTGTCAAGTCTGTTTGGAACGAGGAACGGGGTAAATGGGTCCTCGAGCTCAACCAGAACGATACAACTGTCTACGATGAAGCAGATATTCTCATCAATGCCGGAGGCATCCTCAATCGGTGGAAGATGCCCACGATTGAAGGTCTGAACCGGTTTGAGGGCAAGCTCCTCCACACAGCGGGTTGGGATCCGGCCTACGACTGGTCCGACAAAAAGATCGCTGTCATCGGTAATGGCTCCTCGGGGATCCAGATCGTGCCTGCGCTGCAGCCTAAGGCTGCCCGGATCGTCAACTACATCCGCCATCCAACATGGGTGTCGGTCAATTTGTGCCCGGACACGACCAGGGATGGAATGGGTACCAACTTTGTATACACCGAAGAAGAAAAGGCCCGATTTCGGGATGACCCTGAGGGTTTTCTGGAATACAGGAAGTTTATCGAGCGCTCGTACGTTGAACGCCACCCACTGAGGTAATCTACTAATAACAACATCGCAGAGTCAATACCGTCTACAAGCTGATGCTCAAGGGATCCGAGTACAATCAGATGCTATACACAGCGACAGAGCAATTGATGAGGCAGCGTCTTAGCAAGAATCCACACCTAATCAAGAAGCTCATCCCCGACACTGCTATCGGATGTCGTCGTCTTAGCCCCGGAGACGGATATCTAGAAGCCATGCAGGAGCCCAACGCAGAGTGGTGCTTTGATCCCATTGAGAGCATCACCAAGACTGGCATCCAGACCGCCCAAGGTGAGGAGGAATTTGACCTCATTGTCTGCGCCACAGGTTTCGACACCACCTTCATCCCTGGTTGGGAGATGGTAGGCCGGAACGGTCGTCAGCTCGCTCACGACTGGAAGACGACACCCGAGGCATATTTCTCCATCTGCTGTCCTGGCAGTCCCAACTATTTCATGTTCGCCGGGCCTAACTGCCCTATTGGTCATGGAAGCGTCCCTCAGATGCTAGCCTGGACTGCGGACTACATTCTGCAGTGGGTGAAGAAGATTTCCCGGGAAGATATTCAGTGAGATTAGACCTTACCTATGATGAGAGGTTCTCAACCACTAACAATGTCTAGCTCCGTTGTTGTAACCGACTCCGCAAACCAGCTGTATAACCGCCATGTCCAGGCAAACCTGAAACATACCGTCTGGAGCTCAGGCTGCACTGCCTGGTACAACAATGGCTCGGCTGTCACGGCCATGTATCCTGGCAGTGTTCTTCACTTCAAAGGTAACCCAGCCTTGATCTATACCCTAGGAATTCCATCAAGTGTGCTAACACGTGTGATAATTGCAGAGGCCATCTCTACCATCCGCGGCGAAGACTTTGATATCCGCTACCAAAATAACGCTAACCCCTTTGCCTATCTTTCGAATGGCGAGCTGGAGTGGGAGAGAACAGAGGGGGCAGATTTGGCGTTTTATTTGAAATAGGCCTGTATTGGGTGGACTACTTAGTAATATCATGTATATGAATGAATGATGAGACTGGAAATGGTGTTTCAATGGTAATTCTATCCTAATATACTAGTGGCCTATTGAGGAACTCCCATAACATATGATGAATACTCAGTAGACACGGCCTATTCTCACTCATTGTGCCGCACCCTCCCCTTTGAATATGATATCCGCCACAACCGCAGCTATAGGATTTACACCTAGACCGAGTGTTATTTCTTTTCTTTGCTTCTTATACTCCAGAATCAGTTATAGCGATCCTGCAATATCATGCGTCTAAACTCCGGTTCCCAGAAAACCCTAATCTGGTGTGGAGCATGTTTTGCTACAAGAAACATTGATACTCCAAACCAATCAAACTTTACTCCTGAAGCTCCGCTCCCCGCCCACGCCCTATACTTGACAAGCACTCAGTATCAGTTCTGGCACGGTTGAAATCGGTCCGTTACTCTATACTCCGACAAGTATATTCATAAACTTTCGTCTTCTACACACCGTACTCAGATACCAGACTCGCTTATAATCACTACACCACTCATTCTATCCTACTTGTATATCCGACCAAACCTCTGCCAACCTACATTGAAACAACCTACCTCACACCACCCCCAACATGCGCCTCGGCTTCCTCGGCCTCGGCGTGATGGGCACACCCATGGCAATAAACCTATCAAAACACTACCCCCTAACAGCCTGGAACCGCAGCGCCAGCAAATTCCACGCTCTCAAGACCTCCAGCCCAACCGCCCGCTTCGCACCCACCCCAACAGCCGTAGCCCTCAACTCCGACATAATCTTCACGATGCTCTTCAACGCGCCCGCAATCGACTCCATCCTCACCACCTCCTTCCTCTCCTCCCTCAGAGACAAAATCCTCATCAACACCAGCTCCATCCCCGTCTCATACAGCCAACACCTCTCGACCATCATCCACTCCGCGGGCGGAAAATACATCGAAATGCCCGTCAGCGGGAGCAAGGTCCCCGCAGAGCAAGGACAGCTCGTTGGCATGATAGCGGGGGATCCTGACATCGTGGAAACGGTCGTGAAGCCTGTTGTTAAGCCGTTGACTTGTGCCGCGGTGTACTGTGGGAAGGAGATCGGGTCCGGGCTGAAGATGAAGTATGCGGTTAATACGTTGCTGATTACGTTGACGGTGGGATTGGCGGAGTCGATGAATCTGGCGAGGGCGCAGGGGTTGGATTTGGAGGCGTGGGGAAAGGTGCTTGCGGCGGGGCCGATGGCGTCGAGGTATTCGGGGGTGAAGGTCGAGAAGATGCTTAGGGGGGATTGGGAGGCTCAGGCGGCGATTAAGGATTGTTTTAATAGTACGGAGTTGATTAGGGCGGCTGCGAGGGAGGTCGGGGTGGAGTGTCCGGTGATGGATGTTTGTGGGGGGTTGGGTGCGGAGGATATGAGTGCTGTTGGGAAGGTAATTGGGAAGGTGTAGGTTTATTGATATTAGGATGAATGGTGGGATGTGGTGGAGGATGGGATATCCATGAGGGATTACTTGGTTTTTAGCACTTGAAGGAATAGACTGCGTGTTTGGTCTAGATTGAAGATATTGTATGTGTATAGCCGTGATCCTAGATACTTGCGTTCCAGATGAGTGGAGTCAGAAATTCAATTTCCTAAAGTTGGCAGAATATAGGGACAACCCAAATATATATATATATATATATATATTTATAATAGAAAATTCATATAAAAAAAAAAGAAGAAAAGGGATACCCCCTTTGACTAGAGGATAGGTCAGAGGGGTAAAAAATCCTACACAATGAAGTGAAGAAAGTAGTCGTTCCAGTAAATGTCTGTTCCATAAGATGGATTGGCATAACGCCGCCTCCGCCATGGGGAGGATGTGTGTGGTCTGTTTTCAGGCCTGCAGGCCATAAGTGGTCATTGGGTTGACTAGGCCCGTAAAATAAACCCGTGACAGTCTGGTTCGCTTGGCCAGTTAGGCTACCAACTAGGCCAAAAGAGATATCCCTCTGAATTTCGGCATAACTGGGGAAAACATTGTCCCCATGAAGTTATAGTAGAGCAGTATATCAACCCACTGTAATTACAGAAATAATCAGGAAAAATTTCAGGGCGAATGAATCAATGACCATAACTCGATTATACTTCTGGCTTGATTGTTGATTATTGGGCATTGTTGATCAGCTTGGATTGTCGGGAGTGTTCCACGGTTCCGCGCCTTATGAGTGACATTGGTATACGCCCTGCGTTTCCCGCGACTAACCGCTACCTCACCGGCGTAGAGTCCGATTCCCATAGATCAAAACAAAACCATTCAACCAATTAGAGCTTTGAAGAGCCATTAATATTCCTCTCCCACTGCCCATCAATGCTCAGCCGTTCATGATGAGGTACTCCCTCCCACGCCCTGCGAAACGTCGCAACCCTCGACTCCCAATCCAATAACCTCTTATCAATAAACGCCGCGCTAGCTTCAGCAGTCTCCTTTACCAGCTCCATTGGAAACATATGGCCACTGGGTAGCACGACTTCCTCAACAAGTCCCCGCGCTGCGCCCCCACTACCTCCCAGACCCGTACCAGTTGTTACCACTTTGTCCCGACGAGCAATCGGAGAAGACAGATCCGATTGTTCCCCAAACAGATAGAGAATAGGTGGTTTTAAATGGGGCAGTCGACGAAACATCCATGCCGACTCAGGTCGGTAAAAAGGATAATCAGCATCATGGTCATCCGGATGCATTTCCTCCTCAGGGTTACCGCGGGGAAGTCCGGATCGCTCATCGACATATGAAGGCCGTACGAAGTAGAATAGCTCTTGTGCCTTGGTTGTAGTCAACGTAACGGCGGATGGTCCAGTTTCGTCCGTGACGGGATGTAATGGGGTGGGAAGGTCTCGTAGCCCGTACTCGATCCATTTGTCGAGAACGCGGGGATCCCACGTCCGGTAGAATGGATTTGACTTGAATTTAGCTGCTGCTTGCTCGCGTGAGGGCCATATGTCTCGTCTGTAAGTAGATGTCTGGGCGAATTTGCGGCCTGGGTTTTCGCGCTGTATCACCGGGTCGAGCAGGATAAGACCCTCGAATAGGGATGGATGCAACAAAGACAGGTGGGCTCTGGATTATCATCCATGAGAAATGGGCGCTTTGAGCAGACCGAGGATACTCACAGCTGCATTCCACCCATACTGTGACCGATGCCAACAAGTGGTTGAGGGATCTGGTCCTGAAATTGATTTATCATGAACAGAAGATCACGCCCGTGATCGAGCCAATCAGCTAAAATGGCGTCAAAAAATCTTCAAACGGCTTGTGCGGTGCGGGGAGAGAGCTTACGATCATGGCCTAAGATGGCTTCGTTTAAAACACCACTCTGTCCCTGTGGAGCAACATCTGCAATCCAAATTGATCGGATGCGTCTGTTTTGACTTGCGAGCTGCTTGTAAAGGTCATCCCAAAGGGGTTCGTACAGTTCCTTATGCACAAGTTAGTCATATTGAAAATTAAAATGTAAGGAGTTGAGTCACCTTTGGAAACGCATTTGCATGCGCCCCGATAATAGTGACATCCCCTTCTTTCGGGTGTGGATTATCGAGGGGGATGTACTGCTTAACAGCAAGTCGCAGCTCGTTTTCATGGCCAGCTTTCACGGCACCCGGTCGCTGTCGGACATTTTGACACCGAGCTGTGTGCTCCACGACGCGAAAGTGGGACATGTATCTCTTACTATGCAGTATGACAAGTCGGCTGATTGATCGGAAGCCCTTTGGCTGGGTCAACATCTTGAATATGACGTAGAAGTAAACAAGAGAAATGAAGACAGTCTAGATATTTAACATATAGGGCCGGGTTAATAGTCCCCTCAAAATAAGCCGAGGTTCAGGAAACTGTTCACCTCATCCACAGACTAGAGACTAACTAGGCATCCGTGATCCTCGTTAGTAATGCATTTCTCCAAATTGGAGAAGGGACATGCCCTACCTGTCAAAGGCGTGGTTATTTCACTGTGCATTGAGAGTACTCTTTCCATACTATCGACGCGATTAACACTAATTTTATCATATCTTGGGGTAAGCTGACCTACTTGCAAAAATGTCGATGAGTTGGCACTGGGGCTTGCTATGAAGACCGAGTATGCTCAGGTAATGTCGCAGATGGAACTCGCCAGTGATTCTTGACAAGATGTTCATCAGGCAATTGCAGTCCATAAATGCGGCAGGAATCCTGGATACTATATGTTAAAGTTCGCTGGCTCGATCAGAAACAGGGAACAGGTTAGGAAAAACATGGATCTTGTTGATGGTCTGGCAGTGTTAATTCTGCTTAACTCGAAGGACGTGATGCGTTTTCAGGGTTTATCGAGTATCTATTCTTGAAGAAAGACATAAACAGTCTTAGCTCGAGTAAGTTGGTTGCACGCTGAATTTCCAGACATCATTACAGTATAGCAAGTCCCGAGAAACACCCTTCTCCCTGAGTTACCACCGTCTTCTTCGTCCCGCTTACCAGATACACACATCCACCCAAGTCGGTGACATAAACCCCATTCTTCGTCAGCTTCAATCCAATAGGCTCATGGAACTGTCTCGCGAGTATTTCAACCTTCTCCCCTATTGTCTCTTTATCAATATCGCCATTAAGATCAACCCGATTCAGGGAGCACCCCATAGGATGCTCACCGCGATCCGTCCAGTAGAGCATTTGCGTCTGCGTATCGTACTCCAAATCAATCGGTTCCGGACGTCCCTCAAGCAGACACTCAACATCAGCTCTGTTGTTGGCTGTTTGCCCAGCAGGAATATCGATCCCCGCACGAAATATTCTTCCCTTTCCGGATTTGCTCGGCCCTTTCTGGGTCCAGTAAATACGCCTATTCCCCCGATCAGGGGCCACACCCACGCAAAACCGCATCATATCTTTCCTTTCTGATGGGACTTTCAACGACCCAGTTTGAATCAGTATCTGATGATCAGTTCCATCAAAATTGCACCGGTGCACACTTAATCCCTCGCGATCGCAGAAATACAATTTACGATCCACATCGTCGACAATGAGCTGTTTGGGTGTATAAACCGTTCCAGGTCTCAGGAGCGTGCGAACATCACTCCCATCGAGCTTAGCCGACTGCACAGACCCGTCACAGGCAGAGAGGGCGTGCCCCATGCTCGTCCAGAACATCCGTCCACAAGAAGGAGAAACATCAATTCCATCTGGATAGGACAATCCACTGACAAGGGTAGTTCTTTTTCCACTCTTCGGAGACACTGCGAGAACACGACCTGCTGTCCTCGCATCACGTACTGCGTTATTATCACCGATACCAACATCCAAGACATAAAGCTTCTCAGACATGCTCTCCTGCTCGGCGGGATACAACCCACCAGACTCGCACTTATCGCCCAATCGCCCTTTGTTGATATAGTTCTCACGTAACCAATCAACCGTTTTGTCCCCATCCAGCCCCCTTTCCCGGATGTAGTTCTCCTCGATTGCTGCAACAGTATCCAAGCCAACCTGATCCATCAGCTGACACGGCTGGCCACTCGTTGGGCGTTGAAAAACTTCCTTCCATAGTAGGTCAATGTCATCAGGGTTGCTAACTCCTTCAGCCAGAACACTCAGGATCTCTCGCTTGATGGCTGCCCAAACACGGCCAAATACAAACCTGCATCATGATTAGCATTGTCACCTTAGAGCCAAAAGAATGAAACATACCCTGTACTTTCCTTCCGCACCATAAACGGACACATCCCACAACTCTCCAACAACTCCATCATTTCAGCCATTACCTCCTCTTCAGTCGAACCACAGGTCATCACCTCTACTGGTCGCATCTCCGGCGGCATCATGAAATGCACATTCATCACTCTCTTCTTCCTCTCCTCACTCAAACCAGGAACCATAAGCCTTGACTTTAATGAACTTGAATTCGACCCGAGAATACAATCCCCGGGTGTATGTCTATCCATTTCCTCAAAAACCTTGATCTTGAGAGGGAGCTGCTCTGGAATTGCCTCGATGACTAGCCACGCGTTCTCAACCGCACTCTTCATATCAGAGAAAAGCGATAGCCTTCCCCGCTCAGGATGTGGCAAAGGCGTCAGTACAGTGAATGCCTCGCCAGAGGATTTGATAAATGACTCCGCAGCAGAGAGAGCATTTCGATCAGGATCAAAAAGATGCACGGTGTAAGAGCCAGCGAGGAAGACGGCCGCGATCCGACGACCTAGAATGCCCGCCCCGAGTACAGTAACTGGTCTTGAAGGGTGGTGTGTGTGGGCTTTGTGGAGCGTCATGGTGAGTTATGTCTGTAAATCCAGTCGACGTTGGAAGCACTTCGCTGCTGGCTTAGCTAGTTGATATTATGTACTCATGTATATTGATTATATTTTAGATAATTTGCTACATAAAGTAATAGAAGAGGCTAATAAACTTCGTTAGTGCCCTGCATATCCTGGTTTTCG